GTTGGTAGATTTGACCAACCTCATAACCACCTTAAAAAAAAGGAAATAATTCTAAATTACCTTTTTTCTTTCTGAAATGACTGGAAATTGTAACAGGAAATTACAATTGTTTATCCTAAATAGCTTAAAACCTGTAACAGTACATGTGTATTTATACTTAATTTAATTGTTTTATTACCATTTGAACTGTGTCTAACTAATAACCCTGCCACATAAGCTATAAATCACTCAATGAACCTGCAGCTCACATTACCATATTAAATTACCTAATGCATGAGCTGCTAACTAGCTTATCTCACGAGGAATTATTATTATTATCATTATTTTTAATTATCTTACCTAATCTAACCTAATAAGTTTACAATTTTTACTTTTTAGTTACATTTATAATAATAAATAAAGAATACACATGAAAAACAAAAAATATAGTACTTACCTGGATCTTCTTATCTCTGCTGTTGACTGTCAATGAAACTTAAGCCAACTTTTTTATACTAATGGTACTACTATATTAAATCATTTTTTATTTGATTAGATAATGCACCTAAGAACACAGAATAATAATATGCAAAAGCAAACAATGCTCTATAACTATCATAATTTTTCTGGCTTTCTAACTTTGAGATAAGAGCCTTTAAAAATTCAGCTAAGCTTGTCAATTTGATTCCTATGAGAAAGAAATATAGAAACAATTATCTGTACAGAAAACAACATAATATAATATATCATTTGATAGATTAAACTTTGGCTTTCTATTGGTTATAAATAATGTACTATAAAACATCAGAGAAATCTATTGGTAATATGTGAAAGAGAGGATATAGTTGGTGGGCATAGCAAATGGGTCTAATGTTCTAGTTTAAGGCTCCATAAACAAATAAGATTGAAGGCTAAAAAATTATGCTTCACCTGAATAATACATATAATAAGTAATTTACGTTAAATTCTATACTTCTTGGAGGAGTGGTGAATGAATTAGAGAAGAGGGAAGACCTAAACAACAAATATAAAATTCTCATAATAGAGGAGATTGAAGATTTTAAAAAACATATTTCCTTATAAAATTAAGAAATATGTTGTGATGCCAAGATTATTTGTGTACATGTAAATTTTAAATGTAACTGTAAAAGGTGGTGACGTGTGTACTTTAACTTACCCATTACTAAAGAGTTAACTTGTACACTTCTTTTTTAGTTTTTGGTATTAAGAAGTAATTTATTATATTGGCATTCTCCTAATATATTTTTCTTATTCATTCTTATTATTGATAGAAATTACAAGTTTTCTAACTTAATCAAAACATTCCATTCGTATTGATGATGTATACTTTTAATTCTTGTGTAATATTAAAATTTAAAATAATAATCATTGTGTGATGTGAAAATTAAATTTTCATAACTAATTGTTATTTCGTACTTTAGGTGGTACAATGTAGATGTTGTGTATTTTGGAGAAGTTTAAAAACATTTTGAATAAAAATGAAATTTTATTTTGTTAAATAACTTGCCTGGGAAGAACTGTTGAAATTTTGTGTTGCAGCTTAGTAACTATTCTCTTTACAGATGCACAAAGATTGACAAGGGAAATCTAAAAAAAACATATTACTTGTAGATTGTAAGATATTATTTTAACTCCTTCATCAGTTTTGATTACATTCAAAAAAATGTTTACAGTAAAACTTTTTCTTTTGCTGTTTGTAAGGTTTGTGTAAAGCCAAAGAGTTTGGAAGTTTGACATGTTCTCAGTTTTTATAGTGTTGATAACGGCTAAAAAACAGTTTAATATTCACTGTTTTAACTGTTATGATGATTTAATTTGGGAAGACAGAGGGTTTGAAGTGTTATTTTGATTTTTTGTGCTGTTGCACTGATTATCAATAGAGAACTAGAAATATTTTACAGTCTTATAAATATTTTTCTCTACAGTAATTGACTGTGGAGAACCAGACATTAACCCTGGATCGTATGTCGAGGGAGATGGACTCACTGTCCACTCTGTCATTGAATATTTCTGTGAACCTGGACATCTGATGATTAGTAAAAATTCTCAAAGAATTTGTGGATTGGATGGAAAATGGTCAGGTGAAGCTGTTATGTGCAGATGTAAGTATTAAATTAATAAAACATAATAATAAGTACAGGGTTCCCACTCGCCTGAAGAGAAAAAATCATTGAGCTAAAACGTCAAAGTGAATTTTGAGAAATTTACCTCAAAGAGTCAGGAAAAATATTCTGAAGGATATTAAATACCATAATTTTTCATAAGCACACAGAAGTCACTATTTATGGTTTTTGAAATTTGTTATCTAAATATGCAACTGTAATAAAAAAAGGTACAATCATTATAATCTTATGCATTTGTGTATGTACATAATCATCCGAAATTCTGTTCTTTCTAGAAAAGTAAAAGAAGATAAAGCTTACTTTATAATGCAAAACTTGTTTACCACTGAATTTATAAAGCTTAAAATACTGAAATTTCAAAGATGAACTTATACAAACAAACAATAAGGTCCCTTTTGTTCTTATTATAGACTTGTTTTTAATGTTTTTATAGTCTGTGTATATATACTGTGTTTAATCTGTTTTCAAAAGCTTTGTAAAAGATATTTCCAAAACACACTTTCATCCTCTCATACTTTAGCTCTATCCTGACAAAAGTTTCTCTTCTCTGCCCATCTAAGCATTGGTATGAATCTTACCTCACTTCCTCTAGCCTTTATACCCCACTATATTGCCCATAGCAATTTAAATCTTGTGATTTTCTCCACCTATGTCAATGCACTTCTTATACCAGGTCTGTATATAAGCTTCCCATCATTACTTCCTACACTGTTTTCTTGATGGCAGAACATTATGACAATGGTTTTACATGCTTGCTGCGAGTTTCTCTTATGTGTTATATAACTTCAATTATACCTATGATTTGGAAAAAAAAATTTCTGACCTGTTTTATTGGATTTTGAGTTTATTGTTTATCTTCACCCTCCACAGGTTTTTCAGTTTCACATTCTACCTTTTGGACTTGCATCTGCCCAGCACATCTTTTGCTGGATAGCCAGATCCTTTTCACGTCAATTTCACTCACCATTATATTGTCGACTGGCTTTTTGTTGCTCCTTCCTGCCAGTCACTTGGCAGAGCTTCACACTCAAGTTATTTTATCCAAAGCTGCAAGAGCTGGGTTTTTCATCAAAAAGGAGGTTTAATTGTACTCCCACACAGTACCTCATCCATTTAGGGATGTTTTTCATTTCAGGTCTCAGTCGGGGCCAACCTCTCCTCTACACCTTCAGGCCATGAAATGGGCCATTCTTCTAATACAGTCATCTCCTTCTCCACTAGCACATGTGGTTCAATCACTTTTGGGGATGTGGGAATCCTTGGAATTCCTCATTTCCTTGGATCAGGCCCACATACGTTCTCTTGAGTGGTCATTACAGAACCAATGGAACATTTACATGGATATGCTGGATTGTCCAGTGACCCTATCAGCTTCCAACCTGCTCGATCTTGGCTGGTAGTTGAAGAGGAACAACACAACAGTAGGTGTCTCTCTCTCACCTTCATATCCAGAGATACATCTTTTTCAGGATGCTTCTCTCTGGGGATGGGGAACTTGTGTAGGGGATATGGAATTCAAGGGCCTCTGGACAGAAGAGGAATCTTCTCTCCACATCAATCTTTTAGAGCTTCTAGCAGTTCAACGAGCTATGTCTTGGGCTCTTGAATTGTTGAGAGGGAAGGTGGTAATGCTTCACTCAGACAATTCCACTGTGGTCTCCTACATTTATAAGTAAGGGGGCACTCCAGGTTTCTCTGTTTTCAAATATTGGATCTTCTCTATTGGGCCCACAATAATTAGATTATTCTCCTTGCTTGTCATGTTTCAGGTGTTATGAACTTAGTGGCCAATCAGTTATCTCATCCCAACAGTTTTTTCCATGGAATGGATGCTTCATCCACAAGTTTTGGATCTGTTCTCATCTCAGGATGCCTTAGATTGATTCTTTTGACACTCACTGGAATGCACAGCTCCCGTTCTTCTGGTCTCATGTCCATCACCCTCGGGTTTTGTGCATAGATGCTCTCAGCCAGGATTGGATGGATCATCATCTTTACATATTTCCTTTATTTCATCTGTTATCCAAGGTTCTTGCACTGATTCACTTCTCATCCTGTTGAGTTCATCTGGTGGTGCCAAATTGGCCAGGTCATCTTTGGTTTCCACTCCTTCAATATCTTTAGAAGTGCCAACCTCTTCCGCTTCCTCTCTGGCCATCCATCCTTATGTCAGCCTCAGTTGGACATTTGTTATCTGGTGATCACATTTCTCTAGCTTCATGCCTAGCTTTTATGCATTATGTTGCACAATGTCAGGGATTGACTTCTTGGGTGGCATCTTTATTAAAGTAGTCCATTCAATGTTCTTTGTTAGATGTTTATTGATGGAAATGGTTTACTTATCATCAGTGATCTCTCAGACATGGTTTTAATCTTTCTCATCCCACTGTGCTGCATGTTTCTCGAATTCTGACATAGTTATTTGACAAAGATTTGGCAACTTCATCCACTTCTCTATATAAGGCAACTTTGTCAGCTACTTTTTGTTTTTCTGGAAGACATAAAGTTTTGAGTCCCCAATTTTGTCCTTGCTTCTGAAATCTTTTCAGGTATTTACCCTAGATGTCCTTTCCAGGTTCCTATTTGGGATATCTTGGTGTTTCTCCATGCCTCATCTCATCTATCCTTTGTACCTTTGGCATCATGATTCCTATATAACCTTTCACATAAGACTTATTTTTTGTTGGCCCTAGCACCCATTGATGTTTAGATGTGTTTGCGATTCATGTTCACAGGACTCTTTACAATTCCACTTATGTTCTGTTGTATCTGGATAGGTCCTTTTTCCCATAAACATCAGTGGCTAGAGAAGGAGATAAGACTTTCTCTTTTATCTATCTTCCTCCATTTCTCATTTTCATGAACACTCAGATCTGGATCATCGTTTATGCCCAGTGCGGGCTCTTCAATGTTATACTATGTGCACTGAAGAGTTTTGGGGTTTACATCACCATTTGTTTATTTATTGGGATCCTAAGATGTCACATGAGTTATCCCCTGTCACTATGACAGGTTGTGTTTGTCAACTGGTGTGTTTTGCTAACTCTGGAATTTCATTTGAGGAATGGAGACTTCTTTGGGTCTCATCTCATCAAATTCACTATATCTCGATGTCCATGGTGGCTCGGTTGCATTACCCACTGCAATAGATTGTGCTGGTATGTGGACCATGCCTCATGCCTAATACACTTATATGCTTCCTCAGAAGGTTTTAGGCTCCCCCCCCCCCTGTGGCTGTTCTCCATGCCTCAACTAGTTTATAAGAGAGGTGAGTGACTTTATTTCTTTTGTGTTTATTTCTATTCTTTTTCAGGGAGCCTCTCATCATTTTCATTTGGATCTCACTCTATGCAGGTGTTGCCTGTTCAGGTATGCTTATTTCCAAATCTGCACTGGCTACCAGTCGATCAAAGAAAATAATTCCTGGTAACAATGAGCTCTGTTGAGATTGGGTGTTCCATAAGACCGCCTTATGTGCTTTCCGGGAGGTAAGTAATTATAACACACATATAAGTACACTACTGGGCTGCCATTCATGAACTATCATGAGTAAAACTTAAGGGTATTTTACCCATCCCTGCTGACCTCTAGACTGAATAAATCTGGTTCAGTTTGCTTTTCAAAATAGGGAATGTGGTTCACCTATTACACAGTCTCTAGAGCATCATTTCTTGGGACTACCCAACACAAGTATCTCCCCATTTCTCCCAGTGGAGCATGGGAGGCTACCACTTATAGTTTCCAGTTGCTGGTGTGGTGGACAAAAGTTTATTCCTCCTGAATGGTGCTTGGACTTATTATTCCACTCAAGGAGAGGAGGGAAAAGCTGGGTGCCCTCCTACCATTACCTTGGATAGTTTTTCCAGATGTATGGTATGAGCAAGACCAGCCTATGCTGGAGCCTCCTCATAATTCTAGTTCAGAGATGACTCTTCACTAACTGGTTGAGTTGAGTGTGGTCATTCTTTCCATTTCAATTATCGTGGAAGAGGGTCCTTGATTCCTTGTAATTCTGCATGTGGAGCATCAATTCCTGTGCCATTGGTTGGACTTAGTTTGTTCCATGTTCTCATAATTCCAGGGGCAAGAAGTGTTGCCTTATCTCTCAGGTTGGGAGTTAGGATTTCGGTTTGTAGTCCCAGGCTGGGTAATTTATGTTTCTTCAGGTTGAGTGAGACATGATAGGTTCCATAATTCCGAGTTTGGCGTGTTGCATTTTGCACTTCTTCAGGTTGGAGTGAGGCCTTGTACATTTTTGTGTTGCTTGCCTTCTTTTCATAATACTGGTGCCTTGACATGCAACATTCTGTAACTTTCAGTTTGGGTTCCAATAATTCTACATCCCTAATCAAGATCAAATAAAAAGTGGTCCTCATGCCCTACCCACTATGCCTTGGATCTCAATTTGGGTCCATAGGTCTATAATTAAAATAACGAAATGTAGGACCTCGTCTGCCTGGTTGGTGTCTGGATGGATTCATGTTCTTCTAATGAGGTTTGGATTTTTCCTTTGTGGTCGGTCAGCCTTTACTTCCAGGAAATAGCTTTCCTATTGTCTGGGTGAAGAACATAACTGTTCCAGAAGTAGTGCAGAGCCCACTAGTATGCTGTTACTACATCTAATTTTTGAACACCTCTTTTCTACGCAGATGCTTTCTGTGTGGATCTTGCCCTCACTGGAGGTAAGTGTGTTTCAAAAGTTAACATTTTCCTATACCAAAATTTATTTCTGATGATACTTTCTCTCACACTCTACTAGCCCTTCCTCCCCATGATATGGCCAGTTTCAGGTCTACTAATTTGGACCAGCTCAAAAAGTGAATGGGAAGTAATAACAGGGAGCTTATATATGAATCTGGTATAGGGGGCACATTGATGTAAGCTGGAGCAACTGAGGTGAGCTTCATACCAATGCTAAGATGGGCAGAGAAGATAAACTTTCATTGGGATAAAGCTGAAGTTTGAGAAGAGGTATTATTGGAAATGCATTCTTGGTATAGGAAAATGTTAACTTTTATCCACTGGATAAAATATATTTGAAGATGTAACTGGTAACTTATCACAGAAAGTAGGTTTTAAATATATGGCATTTCTATGCAATGGATTGCAAAGTAGTGAGAGTGTACTAGTTGATGACAATTTTAATTTTTATGCTTTTCTTAGACTCTTTCACTGCTACATTTATAGATAAACAACTCTCCCAGTGCCATGTTTATTTCTAGATATGCAAAATAAGAAAGACAAGTTATATAATTCATTATTTACCTAAAACTTGAAACTTATTAGCTTTGGGAACTTTGAAGGGGAATATCCTTTCTTGACAGTGATAAAAAATTCCAAACTCACATGGCAGTTCTTTGGCAGTTCATTTATACATTATAACTGGTTTTCATTAAAAGGCACTACATAATGAAATTTAAATTTCTCCAGTTATTGACTGTGGTCGAGTGCCACCTATACCTCGGGGAGCTGTCCATAATGCCAATGAAACTACTTACCTTCAGAGTGTAATCTCCTATGCATGTAGTTTTGGGTATCGTCTAGTTGGGAATACAGTGCGTATTTGTCTGGAAGATGGTCGTTGGAGTGGAAATGCCCCCATCTGTGAAGGTCAGTGAGATGTTTAATAAAATAATAAAATAGAAACCAGTGACAATTTAAACACTGACAGCTAGAATATAATAAATTACAATGCCAAGAATGGAACAACGGGTCAGTTTTTCTATAAATATTATTATTACTAAGTTTATTAGCCTGATATCATATTTAGTAGCCAAATAACAACATTTTGTGAAACCTTAAATATTTTATGAAGTGAAAAACAATTTTTATCTTATTATAGCATGAATTTATATATGTAATAGTAACTCTATACTTAACATCTGGATATAATAGACTTATTTTTGAGAATTTTTTATAGGTAGACTAAACTGATTGAGAAAGGTAATTTATGCTTTAGATAGTTGTTAATGTAGTTTCAAATATCTTTTAGAAACTGACTATAAAGCTGCTTAATTATATGCTAACATAGAGTGTTATGAACATAAACAAGGGTTCAGTTTCATTTTTGAATTTTATTCTGTCTTGTGATCTTTAACTTCTCACCCAGCATGCGGGTGAGTGAGAAAAAATATAAATCAATAATTAGTGTACTTTAAAAAATCAAGTTATCATTAAAAACAGCTTTTAAAATTGGTCTTTGTATATTTGGTAAGCAGCTGAAAATGTCCTCAGTAGTTATATAACAAGTTAAAAAAATTAGTCTGTTAAAATATAGAATTTGTAGGAAGGTGTAACCAAAAAATATAGTTTCTTTCCTTGTTGCTGTTATAGTATTTATCTTTTTAAAAGTAGCTGAATAGTGATAGAAATACCATTTGTATTTAATGTAGCTTAACTTTCACAAAGAATAAAACATTAGAACATCATTTATTTTAAGGCTTAGTAAAAATTGAAATATTAAGAAAATCTATCTTTTTCTGCTCCCCAGTGGTAAGTCTGAAGGTTTAAAACACTAAATCCTAGGTTTTGATAATTGTGGTTGGCACATCATAGACAGCTCATAATATATCTTTAAGCTTATCAACAAACAAAGAAAAAAATCAACCTTTCCTGAGATTTCTATAGACAAATTTGATATACTAGAAGGAAATTCTTAAATGTGGTTCATCAATAGGTTGAGCAAAAAGTGCAGGAACAATAATGTTTAGGTGTAAAATGGTGTTAACTATGTTTAGAAATGGAGAAGTATTCTTAATAAGACTCTATTTGTCTCACAAAGTTATTGAATTCTTTATATTTTCTAAAGCTCCATTTCAGTAGTGTTTAAGAAATTTTTCCCATTTATGACACCAAATTTCAGTGATCAAGGTCTTCTACTTGAGTAGTTACAGCATCTAATGGATTAGTAATTTTACAAATTGCCTTTGTATTGTACAGTAAAAGAGTAAATAATTGTATTACCATCACAAAGAAATATCTTTCTAGAACAGTTGTTTTATATTTTTAAAATATAAATTCCGTTTGCATTATCATGGTAATTTTATGCTATCAGTTCATTTATAATCATCAGAAAATACCTATGGATCCAAATCATTTATATTTTTTTCTCTTAACCGTATTTAAAAATTGTATAGAATTTTTAATCTAAATTGATAACTTTTTCATATCCTAACAGAAATTCGTTGTCCAATCCCCGAAGTGCCACAGAATGCTTCAGTTGTATATAGCGGCAATGATCGTTCTTCAGCTGTCTCATTCAAGGTTGGGTCTAATGCTCAGTATCGCTGTCATGAAGGCCATGTCTTAACGGGAGTGCCATTACGAAGGTGTCTCCAAACAGGAGTATGGAGTGGAGAGGTTCCCTTTTGTAAATGTAAGTAATTAAGTGTCAAAACAGCATGCCAATCGATTGTAACTAAAATTGTATAATAATTTAAAAACAGTATCACCAGTATATTATTCCCTTAGAATTTATAAATTTAAAATATTTGTAATTATATTTGATTAGATGAATCAAAACTGCTTTTTCTTTTAAGCAGACTGACTGAGAATTTCAGTACCTTATTTATTTTTAGTCTCTTTGGATAGAGCAATGTGTTTGGCAGATTGTTATCAAGAATACATAAATGGTTTAGAATGATACTATTGCTTTTGAAAATAAGTTTTCTGAAGGAGAGAGTTTCTGATTGAAAGCTTTGGCAGAAATCATTTGGTCTGGAGAATCTGAAAATTTTGTATTCAGCTAAATTTTTAAAGAATCATGTCAAATAGAATGAACTTTAAAATACTGTTGTTTGATTCTTTGCAAAATGTATTTATTTTGATAGCTAATACTGCTTAATATTTATTATATTAATTTAGTAATTAATAAAATTAATTATTGCATAGTTAACAAGTAAAATCACAGTTCTAGAAACCTGATAATCCAAGTGGTTTTGTAAGATAGACCAACTACTTCTGTAAGATAGACATTCCTTTTGGGTTTTAACTTACTTTTGTTATCCTACATGTTTTCTAATTATTATGATTAAAAAGAAGTATTTACTCTTTGTTCCATAAGTTTCTAATCTTGCACATATAGATGTGGACTGTGGTTTTCCACTACCAGTACCTCATGGTCACTGGCTTCTCCCAGACAATGCAACCTTCTACACTTCGTCAGTAGAATACATGTGTGATGAAAACTACAAAATTATTGGACCTAATCATAGGCGGTGCTTGGATGATGGAATATGGAGTGAACGAGAACCCAAATGTATAGGTCAGGGGATTTTAGCAGAAGTGTTAAATATGAATAATTTGGATTTGATTTAGTATGCTTGTATATATAGTAAGTGTATTAATTTTTATAAATAATTGTTCAAAAAATTATTTTTACAGCATGTTACCTCTTAAACTTTCCCATCAACTGAGATGGTGACGAATTTTAGTTGCATGATGAATGTAGTAACCTTTAATATGTAAAATATTAAACCAAGTGTAGTGATTTATAATAATAAGTGTATTATCTGTGGTAAATGTAAAATGAAAACAAAAACAATGACATCTTCTTCATGTTTAGCATATGTATATAACAAGGATCTTGGCTAAAGATGATGTTTCCAAAACATACTTACATCATCTCACACACACACTACAGCTATTACTCAGCTGCCAGGGTTTTTTTCCTTTACCCATCTAAGCATTAGTCAGACTTTTTCTTGCTTGCTCCAGTCTTTTATATCCCACTTAATTGCCCTTGGCAATATTTGTGTTGTGACACTCTCCACCTACATCAATGTGCCCTCTATCTTTGTACTGTATATAAGCATCTCATTCAGATAATGTTATCACTTTTTCTTGACAAATGTTTGTTAATAGGTTTCAGGCAAATCAGGTCTCTGTTATCCCACCTCTGACATCTAGCTTCACTTAAAAGTGAGAGTGTGGTAATTCTCAGTTGAGACTGTCAGTGATCTTATTCTTAGTGAAATGGACACATATAATTGGTTTGGTGGTGTTTCTCCAGGGGCTCTGAGGCTGCATTTGTGAGTGATCCTGGGCATTTTGGAGAGAATTTAGATTTGCTTTCTCTTGCACCTTTTTTTCTGTTGGATTCTCAGGAAGCCACTTTGGGATAAGCTGCCTCAGGCTCCTTTTCTTCAGTTGGTTCATCGAGTTTGTGAATTTTAGGTCTTTCCCGTGTTGCTTTTGAGCCTGCACCCTATTTGATGGCTGAAAGGTTAGGTCTGGGAGCAAATACTTAGTTTTTCCTCCATCCACTGACATTGTGGTTCATACAGGGAGGTTTATTGATCAATTATGTGAAGGGACAGCTATGCCTTGTTCACTATGGTTGTCTGAACTATGTTATTTAGCCTACCACTGCCAAGTGGAAGCATATTCCGACTCTCAAAGAATACATATGCTCCTGGAAATTTGGGGTTCAAGAGTGGAGTTTTTAGTTAACCTAAATAGGTCAATGTCCCCTAGTAGGACAGTGGTAAGTCTACAGACTTACAACTCTAAAATCCAACCTTTGATTCCCCACAGTAGATAGTCCAACATCTGGGATTCATCTCATGTTATATACAGTGCCAAATTATTTATTATCCTCTTAACTTTAATCGGCTCTTACAGGCGGTCATAGTTCTTCCCCTATTTGAGGGTCCCAACCTCCTACATCAACCCATTGGTCCATTGGTACCCAAAATAGATTCTCTACATATCCATGGGTTCTATTGCTCGATTGGAATGCTGCCAATGGTGTCAGTGACTATTGTATTCCTTCAGGGTCTGTGAGGGCTTGGCTCCAAGAATGTTTTGATGTGTGATAAACCTTAACCATGGATCCATAGGCACTACAGGTCCTTGAGTCAGGATTAGTTATTCAGTTCACATATTCATCACCATTATCCACCGAACCTGTAGGGTTTCCATCTCCCTCAGATCCTCGGTTTCAGAACTTAGTTCTAGGGCTATCAGAGCTTGCTTAGTTTGGGGGTAGAGAGAGTTGTGCCAGTTATTCTGGGGTTCTTTTCCCTTTGGTTTGTTGGGCCCAAGAAGACAGGAGATTGGTGTCTAGTCATCGATCTTCCATGTTTGTATCAATTTCTAGATTTTCCAACATTCACAAGTGACTCATTCCTCACTCTGAGTTGTCATTTCTTACTACAGTGTCCAAGTTTGGTGTTGTTGGCTCCTATTTGCACATTGCCATAATGGTAGTGTCCCACCACTATCGGCTTTTTTTGTGCACAACAATCAGGTACTGCAGTTCAGGGTCTTACCTTCGGACTAGCATTGGCACCATGTGGGTTCTCCCGAATCATACAAGCTTTTTCTCAGTACCTCCCTAGATCTGTGCACATTCCATGTACAACTGGTTACTACTGGCATCATCTTGTCAATTATCAAAATGTCACCACTGGATTCTACTTTCAGAAACAACCAAGGCAGGCTTAATTATCAGAGTTGAGATATCTCTTTTTCTCTCCAACACACTATGTAATTAGTCTGGGTTTTTTTTTATCACGTATCTCACTCAGACTCAGCTGATTACCTCCTTGTCATGATTCTGGGGCCCAGAACACATCATTCTATGGCTACAGGTTGGGATCCGCTCATAGTATATATATATAGCAGTCCAATTGCCCTACCCACCAATATGGGGCATGGGGACCATTGCCCTATAATTCTAACCTCTAGCAGTGGAACCTTGGCTATCTGTTTGGGACCTGGCCAATAGTGATGATAAATCATGTAAAATTCGACCCACAGTACATGAATTAAGTTCCGGATGAAGAGAATACTTGTTGTGGATGTAGTGGAGGCTCCCCCACTAGGGTGCCAATCTTCTATTAACACACCCATGATCTATGCACACACCTTCTGTATGGATAATTCCCTCATCAGCCCCTCCATCTTATCAATGTTGGATTCTAGCTGTAGTTTGAGAGAAAGTAAGTATGTTTTGGAAATTGATATTTTCTTAAATGGAAAATGTATTTCCAATAATACCTACCTCCTCTCACACTCTTCTTCCCCACTAAGAGCCATTAGAGACTGTGGATTGAGTCAGTCCTGAAAAAGTGATAACATGATCTGAATGAGGTACTTATATACAGTACCAAGATAGAGGACTCATTGACATAGTTGGAGAGTGTCACGAGAGAAATATCACCAAGGGCAATTATGTGGGGTGTAAAAGACTGAAGCAAGCGGGAAAAAATCAGACCAATGCTAAGATGAGCAAAGGAAGAAACCCTGGCAGTCGAGTAATAGCTGTAATGTGAAAGGAGGTAGATATTATTGGAAGTACATTTTTGATTTAAAAAAATGTTAACTTGTATTACTTATTATATTTGTATTTTAGAGATATCATGTGGATCACCTGATATACTGGACAGTATGACTTTGATTAAAGGTGACATTTTCACTGTTGGGAGGATGGTTGTCTATTCTTGTATTGAAGGCTATACATTGGTAGGCTCAAGTGTACGTTCCTGTCTCAATAGTGGTCAGTGGTCAGAGCAGACACCTTTCTGTCAGTGTAAGCATTTTGTAACCTTTATATTAATTTTAATGTATAAACATATTTTCTATGTAATCAAAACATAGACTTAAATAGACAAGTCCTTTACCTCATTTTTAAGAATGGTAATTTGTTTAGAATTCTAATTGAATATTAGAGCCCAGTCTTTTTTTCTTTCTTTATTAATTAGACAACAAATTAAAAGTAAAGTAGAAAGTTTGAGCAACAAAAAAGTTCCACTTTTGAACTTTAGTTGAAATTTTATGAGGAGGTCCTTAAAGAAAGATTTGGTTTTTGCTATATATATTTGCAAATCTTTGGTTATTTTGTGGGCAGATAATTTTCTGACATGTAGTCCCACACATTAATGAAAACAAATAATCTCACACTATCAGTCAAATATAACTTTAATCAGACCTAGGTATATTGAATGTCAGTAACATTAAATTTTTAATAATCTAATTTAAACTTAGTGAATAAGGCTCTATAATAAATCTAAGTTGTAGACAGTTCTTCAGTAATAAAGTGAAATCTCTTAAAGTGAGGATTTTTTATTGCACATTTTACTGGAGTATTTGACTGTTACATAACAAACAATAATTAGGTCTACAAGATAGATAGAGAGAAGAAATCAAATTTATGTAAAAGTATTAGCTAGTCATATAGTTTTGTCGTATAACTTTAACCCCAATCTCGCAGTATGAAATAAAACACCTTAACTTGATGTTTAAATAAAGCAATATATCAACTAACCAGCTTGTGTTTTGTTTTGTTTTATGTATGAGTTGGAATCAATAACAGTTTTGCAGCATTAAAGTTATTAGTAAGAATAGGTTTCAGCCTGCTTACGCCCAGTTTTCTTAATGCATAATTATTGTTCATTATACATTGTAAAAAAATGGTAGTTTAGAAGAGACCCAGTTAATGATTTCATATAGCTGTGATACTTTTACTGTTGAAATCCATGTGTTCATTTTACTTTAGTGTAAGCTGTTTAAGTTGTGCTATGGATGAAAGTCTTAAGGCATTGAAGATGACAAAACTGATGAAATATTAGCACACATTGAGAAAGTTTTTGCACTTGTAGAAATGTTTAAGATGAAGTTGTACAAAAAGTAAATAACTATCTGATACATATATTTCCAGATATAATCCATAAATGAGTTAGAAAATATTGCTTAAATAGCAAAATTTGTTTCCCAAGTGAGGAAACACTAAGGATACTTTAGCTTAGAAAACCTAAGAAAATGTATTTGGTAGAGGGTAATTTTTTGTAAAAGTTTGTTGTTTTTTGTTTTAGTTGAGTTACATATTTTATTGCAAATTCATTGTAATGTAACTTTTCTTTAATAAACATTAATTATTTTTAAACTAGTTCTGAATTACTTTTACATCAACTGTTTCTCTGTTAAACTCCAGCTAATCTTCAACAGTGTGATGTTATAACTGGAGTAAAATATAAATTAAAATTACATCTTACGAAAATTCTAGTCATACAGTCTAGTCATGACAATAATTCTAATGTCAGGAAGCTGTTGTTAACTTTCTGATTCTTGCTTTCAAACATTTATGGACAATTGGTTATGCATCTTTCTCTTATAAGAAATATTAGTGTATTAATTTATATTGATCTACATTAATTGATTATTAATTTATATTAATAATGCTTTTATGTATTCTCAAAAACTCAAGATGTAGCTATTTTTCAAAATTTTTTATAAAGTATTGAAAAATGACAAATCATAGAAATGGAGAATAGTATCATATTTACTGGTGTATTTATACAGTGGTTGATTGTGGGCATCCTACGATAGTGACCAATGGTGATGGTTTTCTAATGAATGGGACAACTACATTTGAATCAGTGGTTGAGTACAAATGTTCACCAGAGTATAGGATGGTTGGAGACCCTTTGAGACACTGTTTGGCCTCTGGTAGCTGGAGTGGTCAAGAACCTAGGTGTATTTGTAAGTTATTTAAACTATGTTTACTATATATTTATGATAATAGATGGATCCCTTGGTAATAGGATATTCTTATTTAATTAGTGTAATCAACAGACTAAGTTTTTTGTGGTAGATAAGAACTGTAAAATTGTTTACAGAGGGGTTAGTGCATAGCCAGTAGTTAAGTGTATTTATAGATAAAAACATAATCACATTCATTTTATTTTATAGGAAATACCTTAGATAAATACATGTTTTTCACACTAATTTTAGTATGTGTGTGTGTATGTATAGTTAAGTACTTAAGAGTATTGAAAGTATTAAGATATGCTGACTCCAATGTGCATGGCCATAAAGCTCTGTTCGTACATAAGTATAAGACGTTTTTGGACTGTTCATTACTAAACACTTAAACACAAGCTTGCAGATATAGAAAAACTAGAAGCTGTTCTCAGATATATGTATGAAGGATCTTCAGAAAGAAATGGCATTTTCTTTCTTATAAGTTAGATTGTTAGGTATGAATAGACTGCTGCTAATAAGCAGTTGTGTTAGTAGTTCGGTATTTATCCACCGCTTGTGGCATCATATTGCTACGTATGTGCTTGTTTGTTAATTTCCAGTAGAAATTTCTTTCTGAGAAACTTCAGCGATAC